CGAAACCCGGCTTAGGGTTTAGGACCTTAAACCCCAAACCCTAGACCTCTGAAAGCCCAAACCCTGGTCGCAGGTGTTCGCCTCATCCGCAAGCAGTTCCCGGCCACGCGCATGCCTCAGGTGATGCGCTTGAGCAGCATGTTTTCGGAGAGCCGAAGCTCCTTATTAGGGTATATATATATATATATAGGGTTGTCTGCACCCCCAAATGAACCACCAGGACAAGTGGAAGCTATAATAGGATTCTTGGGGTCTTTATTCGGGATTCACTAGGGATGATTTTAATGCATACACGTTTTTTCTTGTAAAAAAACATTGCAAGTAGCTAAAAGAGGAAGGGAATCTCGCTCTATGGGGGACTACAATATCCCCATTGAAGAACACGAGCTAGGTAAGGCTTGATGGGTTTGCGTAGGCTGACGGAGTTTAGGCTAGGCAACGCTATCTAGGCTTTCAGGTTTAGAGTTTAGGGTAGGAACCACTAGTGCTCTCCAGAATAATAAGAACAACGGACTGAAGGACCTTGCCTGTTTCTAGCTCAAGCTTTGCCCTACTTAGGGACGCGGGAGCCTCGTCATAGGCCCTAGGTTTGAGATCAAGTGAGACCCCCCAACTCGGCCATGACCCTCCAAATATCCTCGATTTAGGCCTATAAGTACCCGTTATTTGGGGCCCCATAGTCCCTGTCAAGGATACTTGGAAGGTCCTGGTACTGTTGCGGTCGATGGTTGGGAGACGTTACCACGCAGGTTCGAGCCCTCGAGGTGGATTAGTTACAGTTTTTAAGTTTTAAGGGTTTAGAGATTCGGGTCTAGGGTTCACAAGGTGTCGGGTGTAGGCATGCGAGCTTAGGATTTGACTTTTGCAGTTTTGGCTGTAAATGTAGTGGATTCAATGCTTACCAATATCTTCTTAAGGTCTCTTTGAGTTTGAGGTACCCTAGTATAATGTTTGAAGATATCTAGAACCGCACTCTTGCTAATCATGTTGCTTTCCACAGACAGTAAGGAGGTGTTCCGTGAGGATCGCAGCCTCCGGCCATTGCTATACCATCGCAAACATGAGAAGAGTCTTTCGAGTCTCGTTCCTTCCGGCTTTCGGGTTCGGATGTCTCCGAGTCTACTGAGCCTGCCACATCCGGGACATGCAAATCGACACGGGAGCTTCTCTAGGAAAGGCAGCAAAAAGCTTACCACTTGAAAAGATGTGGGGTTTTGTTTAATCAGCCCCCAATCCCTACTGACTACAGGGATCCATTTGAAACGCCCATGCTTCCAAGTTCAAAGTCCTCGTTGCATGAGAGCAATCGTACCACTCTTGTGGATTTTCACGAGCGACCCAACTGAAACACAACCTAATCTAACCGCATTCCTAAACTGATCCACAACCGACCCATTTTCAGAAGGGGTTTTGGTGACACCAATCCACAAAATCAGGAATAGACAACTATCAGATGACTACAATAAGGTCCGAATTTGGGTGGGGGGTGGAATTACCAAAAAAACTCTTCTTTCCAGATAGATGCGTAACCCTAAACCCTTCGAACCCTGAGCCCCAAGCTAGCTTCATAGCCGGCCACAAGGTTGGCTCTCTGACAAAACCCACACTTCAGGAAAAGGCGCAGAGCGATGGCGGTGACCAGAGCCTCCCAAGAAGAATGTCTGGGTTGCTGCTAAGGAAAGTGAGTTACGTTACCACAATCTGGATATTGAAAACAAGAGTGTCCTCGTTTACTACATTAAAGAAATACATAGTTAAAAATGGTATGCTATAGTACTATCTAATATATTATAGCAGATTTTTCTACAAGAGCTTGTAGCACCGCGGCTACTAAGTAGTCAGATGACCAGTGCTGTTGCTGGTCTGTACACGAAACATACATCTTCCTGGATAAAAATAATTCGCACTCGCTTGCCCAGACTCTTGAAAGGTATTCCAGCAATGCTCCTCCCCTAATGCAACCTCCCTGCTGTTTACTTACTGTCCAGTATACTGTAACACACCATAGTGGGGAGCTGTTTATAGCGAGGGTGGTCAAGCAGGAGCAGGACGTGCCTGCCGAGCACCAGGGGGCACAGACACGAGACGTCCAGTGGAGGCATCTGACAGCTCCTTACTCGGGAGAGTGAGGGATGAAAAGTTCAGTACCTTTATATGCAATTATTTTAGGGGATTACACGGGGATTCAACTTGGGATCCACTCCCCCACTCTTGCCCCAGCACCAAAAGCGATGTAAGGGGATTCTAATCCCAAACCCTAAAAAAACCCTAAACCCGAAACCCTATGTGTCCTCTTGACGATTGCATGGAGATTGTTTGGAGAAGCCCTCAGAGACGCAGGGTTCAACAAAAAAGGTGCATCAGGGATCCCTTTTCAGAAATGGGGGGCTGTTTCTCAAAACCCTCGCGGCCCGCAGCTTTCTAGGATTCAAGGCGAAGACAATAGTAATAGTAGTAATAGTGATAGTAGTAAAAATTTATAATAGCAGTAGTAATGGTAATAATAGTAACGAGCAAATTCAGTACTAGTAGTAAGTGCCACCTGCGAGCTGAAGCAGGCAATAATTGAGATTGCGGTTGGTCATTGGGGGCTTGCAGATTCAAGGGATACGCTGTCGGGGCCTGGCCTCTGACTTGACGGCCTAGGCCGCTTCACTACGTGCGCTCCATGGCCCGCTATGGTATCCTGCTTCGACAGGATCAAAGCGGGAGTGTTGATACCAGATGGACAGGATGACAACAACAGATGCAAATGGCACGGTTGTTTAGCTACGAGTTTTATTCTTGACATGACGTTTTCCGAGTGGCATTCTGAGCTATAAAGTGTGCTGGTGCTCGGCGTTGAAGATGGACTTTGATTGGTTTAGGGCTTCTGCTTCCTTACTCGGATGCTAGAAGAATATGCATGTCATTTCTTGTTCATGATGACCCACCCCAAAGCCCTCAACCCTAAACACATTGCACGTGAGGCCGGGAGAAATCCTTTCTAATCATAGGGCGGCTTTTTGGATATGATGTTCGGCGTTTTAGTCCCCCTTGAGTAGATAGAATATGGCTTTGGGTGGATTATAGAAAGATCCCCATATACCACATATTCTATCTACTTACAGGGGACTATATATGTTGCCTGGGCTACTGGTCATTGAAGAATTGATGAGCGTGTCATCGTTTTCCAAGGCGCAGTGTATGTGTTAACCGTATCGTTTCTTGTGATTGTATTGTCGTGTTCCGATGAAAAGCCCACTAGCGCAAATGAAAATGTTCACCTCTATAAGTCTCCCATGGCTGGTTAAAAAAAAAAAACGCGCGTCATATCATAGCCCTTTTGGACATCACAGCCTCCTCTTAAAAACTGGAGACTACTTCCCGAATTGCGGGGGGACTGGTACGACTTCTACTTCAGGCTTCCGCACTACCCGTAACATTGAGTGTAAATGCAAGCCTTGAGGTTCTACGTGCATCTCATAGAAGCTGTAGTAACTATCGGCCCCAAACAGCTAAACATAGTGTTTCTTATGCATAACTTAATAGGAAACCATGAATGCTAGATATCCACCGCACTGCATGATTGAGCTTTGCCTATCCCTTAATTACCCCTAAGCCCCTATAGTCCCAATTTAACTAGATAGAATATGGCGTATATGGGGATCATATTATAATATACCTAAAGCCGTATTCTATCTACTTCAGGGGGACTATAAACCTAAATTCCTCACCAACTGCAGCCCAGGGCGCAAAGTCACCAAAGCCCTCTGCCGTTAATCTTTCGGCCGCAGCTCGTAGCTGCGCCAGAGTGCAGGAGTCATCCCCTGCGCTGCTAGGCCAGGGTTTAGGGTTTAGGGCTTCGGGTCCAGGGATTAGGGATTATTTGGAGGTCCGCTTGCCTAAGGGGGAACGCAGGAAGTCCACCTACTTTCGCAGGGATCGGAAACAGTTGACCGCCTGCGCAAATCAAGCCCAGCCTAAAGGTCGTCCGATGGGAAACAGAACAATCTGTGTGGAGATTCAGTGAACTTATCTGGGTTGTCCTTGAAGCCCTTTGAACATCATTTACTATTATGGTTCTCTACAAATTGAGAGGGAAAATTAAGGATATCCCAAAAAACAAGCCAGTTATAGGGACCTACCCTAACAGAAGTACTTGCACATCAGTTGTAAGTCGGAAAACGGTACCTGCTTTACTTGTCGACGTGGAGTGGGGGAGAATGCCATGCAGGTTCTTACTACCGTGGACCTCCACGTGCTTTCCAACCGAAAGGGTCCAAGTACTCAAAAATTAGGTACTTGGGCTTTGGGTAATAGTAATGATAGTACAGGTTTTGGGTAAGTATATCATCGTTAGGTACTTGGACCCTTAGGGCAACATTCCGACAATAGTTCAGCTAAGAAAGTCTTCTTCCGGCGCATTGTACCGTCCATCAAGATCACCTGAAGCACCAACAGAGTCGCAATCTTCCCAGCTGCACAGAAAGCCAATTTCCCCAACGACCATGTCTTCAGGCATTCCAAAACGTGGAGTTTGCGGGCTCCAATACCTAAATCCTGAGACCTCGTCTTGGGGTCCTGGTGCCTTCGGGCCTGTGTACCGACGCAATCGTTTCTCCACATTGGGTTCAGCGAGTTTAGTCAGCGGCTGTTGAACTTGGCTATGGAACAATTTCTGGTGCTTATAGCGGGGAAGGAGCGAATGGATCCCTAACGGCCCCAACTAATCAAAAAACACTCCTACAAGTAGCAAATCTTTGCATACTCACACAATTACATTCTGCCCCGTTCTCTCACTCCCCGCCAAGCATCAGTGGACCAGCCAGCCGCACAAAATGGAGTTGTGATGCACGACCAACGGAGGAAGCAGAGGCTGTTGGCATGCTGAATTACTTGCAAGTTTCTCAAAATGGAGGGGCATCCTATGTACCCCAGAACAGTGGGATCTTTGTTGTAAAGACGCCCGGCTCCCATTTATTTGGAGAAACCTATACCATTTTGAGCACTACTTGTCTCTATCGCTTGGAGGGGTCATAATCCCCCCGGATCTGGTGCTCAATGCTGCAGCCGTAAGCCAGCTGAATGATGGTTCCACGGCGGCCACCTGCGTGTCTCTCAAAGCTGCAGGCACAGAATTGCCCTTATGACCCTACCTAACAAGTTGCAGGAAACTCACAAGCATTCTGTGCGCGTGTCACAAACTAATATGGAACCCAATACAGCCCCTCTTGAAGATTACAGTAATCTCTTTACAATTTACAAAATGATAGTTATCCGTTTCAATGTTGTGGGACCCTTTTGGGGGTTCCACGTTAGCTGCTGTTTCGCAGAACCCAGGTCAAGGCATGTGATTCCCTTCAGAGTCCCGGCTTCTTTCATGAACACCTTCATGCTTGTCAAACACAGGAACAGAAACAAAATCCGAGCCGCATGCTCCAGGCCAGGCAATCACGCTGGCGTGGTGCATGCCACCACCTCTGGGCCGAAGGATCAAGCGTAGGATTTGAGGATTCAGGGCTAAGGCTTCAGGATTTAGGAAGTTTGCGGTTAAGGGTAGGCCATTCTATACTCTTTAGGCACTACACAATCCGCAGTGTGCGCCAGGATTGCAGACTTCACCCGAAACATAGCTTTAGATGGCTTCAGTTGTTCATGTGCTTTGCCAAGCTCATGCATGATGAAACGCTTAAACACGCGACATCACAGGGATCATTTCCATAAGCTAGCTTCCCATGAACCTTTTGTCAGTAAGCTTATGGGCTCCTCTACTACCCCCCATGCGAACCCACGCCCCTAGGCTGTCCCTTAAAGGGGTTATATTTGGGTTCTATTGGGGTTCTGTAGGGGTTATATAGGGATAATGGAAAAGAAAATGGAAACTACTATTTAGGGTTTAGGGTTATAGGGTTCTAGAATAGAGTTGTCTAAGCTATGAGGTGATGACTCGCGGAGCCTCCAAGCGCGACGGAAAAGACACGAGGCCAGCCGCTGACGTACATGGCCTGCTTGGATGTGGATGGTCAACTACAAGCCCACTTTTAACTGTAACCATAACCCGGGTACAACCACATGCATTACCTACACCCTATATCCTACCACCGATTCAGGATACCGGACCTTACGTCTAGTGTCTTCTACTCTATCTACAAGGTTAGATACACTAACAAATGTGTAGGGTATAGAGGTCTAGGTAGGGGACTTAGGCAGCTTACTGTAAGTAGGGGTATAGCTCCACGCAACCTAAATCCAGCAGCACTAGCATCCCAAAGCTTAAGCCCTGGCTTGGAGGTCCGTCACGAGTTTTAACTACACTTGCTGATAGCCCAATTACAGTCTCTTTCGTTTTGCCTACCAGGGACTTATCTTAACTTTGTAAAACGACTACATATGATCCAGAGTTTCTACCCTCTACCTCCCCCCACCCCCAACCCATGGTATGGGTCCCCCCTCCCCGTACGGATCCTGTGCTTCTTGTGTTTCTGTGGTGCTGGTGGTCCTGTGCTTCTTGTGGTTGTGGTGGTGATTCTGTTCTCTGCGGTCCCTGTGGTTCTTGTGGTCATGCGTTTTTGTGGTTCTGCCCCCCTCCCCCTGTAGTCCATGTGGTTCTGGTGGTATATTACGGGGGCGGGGTGTATTTGTAGATGATCCTGCATCATATCCCATACTTCTAATGCTGTTCCCATAATTCTTCTAATGATGTTGTCCACAAATCTATTTGGAGGTTCCTGGATGTAGCGCCAGCTTACGATAGAGCCTATGCAGAGCTGTAGGCCCAGGTACAAGGAGCACGAAGGCCTAAGAGTGACGACAGTTACGATTTGTACAATGATGGCAGCCTTGAGGCGTTAAAGACCGGGATCCTATGTTGGGTACTGCCCCCACCCCTTCATACAAGGGCCATATATATATATATATATAGCTATATTATCCATCTGTTGCAGAGTGGGGGGTACTACCCAAAGTATATACAACTACAGTTGCCATGAGCTCCAAGCATGTACATAACTAAATAACTATATATCCCTTATGTACATAAACCTCAGCTTCCATTTCATGTTCATATTCTTGTTTAGTCGACTTTCCAATATTTGTTGGGGTAACACTCCCGAAGCCTGTCATGACTCCGTCTGAACCATACGCCCCCTTTTTTGTGCACAGTTTGTTCAAGCCATAAGCCCTAAACTGAAATCCCCATACCCTGATCCTAAGCCCTGCTCCCCAAAACCCTAATCCCTATAACGGTTTAGGGTTTAGGGTTTAGGGAAAAAACCGTAACCCCCCCGTCCCTGGCCTTGCCGTGGCAGGGAAAGCCTCCGCTCTTCCAGCCACTCCTCCCGCAGACACGCTTCTCGAGCCGGCCCTTGAGGTTGGCTCCATAGCCTCGGCTGCTTCAGGGGTTTAGGGTCTAGGGGTTGGTTTAGGGTCTAGGGGTTTAGGGTTCAGGGGGTTGAGGGGTATGGGGTTTAGGGTCTAGGGGTTTAGGGCTTAAAGTTGGGGCTATAGTCTACTAGGGTTTAGGATTTAGGGGTTCGGGTTTAGGGTGTAGGGGTTCGGGGTTTTGGGCTTGTGGGTGTGGGGGGGTTTGTAGCCTGAAGCTGCGGTTTGCTCCGTAGCCTGAGCTGCTTTAGGGGTTTTGGATTCTTGGGCTTATCCGACAGGTTTTTTTTGGGGGGTTAGCGGTTCAAGTTGGGGTCTGCGGCTTGGGGGGCTTTATGCCGGTTGCATGGTGCACTGCTGGGCTTGTGCGATGAGAGGCTGAAGCACATAAACAAAAGCGTCGTGCTTGTCTTGGACTTTGTGTTGTGGGGCTTCGAGCTTCAGATTGCAGCGGCTCTGAGGACAAAAGCAGATCTAGATGGATTGATGGTTGGCGGTTTCGGCAAGTTCTTCGAGATCTCATGCTTGACCCGCAAGCCCAAGGAAAAAAACAGTATACCAGAGAACGGCTTGGTGGCCAGCATAGTGAAAAAAGTGGATGTGGAATTGATTGATGCTGCGGTGGCCTGGGGGGTTCACGATCAAGGCACAGCTGCTCCCGCCGCAGCGCGAGTGAGCTGCGTCCATGCCTGCACAAATTCATAAAGGATGGTTCTTTGGGAACTCTTTTGTTTATTCCGCGATAGGAAATTGTGAAAGAGGACCCCTGCCTTGGTTGTAGTATCCGAGATTGTTGCCGTGGACGTTTTCGATGCCTCTTCCGCTGCCCCACATCTTGTCACCACCAACCCACCAGCCACGACCGGACTTCTCTGCACTGGCGCATGACACATCCTTGGTTAAAAGTATTGAGGCTTCGAGTCCCTAGAACGAAGGCGGACTTCACAAGGGCTATATGACAAGTACAAAACGTGCTGCGATGTTCTACGTAGCGTCGGTCTCCATGGCGACCAGTTCGCCCTCTGGGTCTATCTCCGCGACGGTGGCATCAACATACTCCGGCTCCTCATGTTCCTCGTGCTCCTCGTGCTTGGTGCCGTTCATGCTGTTCGTGTGGTTGGCAGGCTTAGCGCTTCCTGGGAATGTTTCTTCAAGCAAGAAACACGTAACCTTATGGAAGCCCAAGGGACAGGCAGATTGCAAGAAGATTCTTGAGGGTCTGGTATGGTAATAAGATCTCCATATACCCCATATTCTAAGGGGGACTATACATATAATTAGGGGTGAAAGTCCCGCCTGTCGTCTGCAGGGAGGCATCAGCCAGAACCACGGCACCGAGCATGAGGATTTTTGTGATCATCGCCATGTTACCCAGGCAAAGTGCTAGGCTTATTCGGAACAGAGCGAGCCTAGATTCGCGGTTTGCGGTTTAATTAAGGGTTTCAGAGTTGGGTTTAATAATAGATCTTAGGTTGGGCCCCCACCCACGACTAGTGACCACAAGAGGTAATGGTAATTACACTAAGGTCCTTATATATTCCTACTATGCCACTATGAGTGGTGGGGGCCCAACCCAAAATAGATCTATTTCAAGATAAGGTGTGGGGCTTGCACATAAGGACCAGGGTCTAGGTGAGATTCATGGTAAGGGCTGCTACAAAATAGTTGACTCGTCAAGGCCCCACCATCAATACCCAAACATTCCTTGAGTAGGAATACCAGCACTACTGGCATGATCAGTCACAGATCTCCGTCAAAACAACCCAAACCCAAAAAATGTGTAAAATAATAGCCCTAAACCCAGAATAACAGCCATAAGGGCCATTATTCTACATACTTTTGGGGTCCAGGAACATCTTTAGCATTAGTGTCTGGCCTTCGTCCCTCTTTTGTGTAAAGTTTCCACGGGAGTCAACCTCTCCGCTGGCAAGCTGATAGGGCTGACTGAATGTGCATGTCCCATTTTTGCTCCCGTGCTTTGCTGGCCCTAAGATAAACACTATAGAACACATAAACCCTAGACCTATAAAGCCTCATCCCGTTGTCTAGGGGTGGATCACTCGATGGTCTATGGACCCAAGTTGACGATTTGTTTTACGCTCTCAGGACTGGGGCGCTTGTGCGGACTCACGGAAGTACGGTTGGCCGAAACAATCTTTTCATGGAATGGTGTAGCCTCAGTACTTCTGCTTTAACGAGAAGTGAGTAGTGCAACTATACCTGGGGCAACACTCTTCAACTTCACGTAAGTCATCACTACTCTTGACCGTTATGAAGGGGTGCTCTTTTGGCCGTTAAACAAGATTAGCTTCTTCTCTTCGAGCAGGCCACTTAGAGTGAGAACGGAGTTAATTACTCTCAATTTAGGTAACATGGCATCACTATTTTTGTTTATACTAGTGGCTTACCTTCCCTAAAACCCAGCTGAGGTGCCATCACTGCAGTTTTGCAGAAAAAGTGCAAGAAAATCGGAGCAATGACATCGGGATGTTTCGGTTCTTCTGAAGATTACTTCGTTATGTCTGAGTTCTCATATGGCAAATTCTGGCGAGGCAGCAGGAACCATATTGCAAAATTCTCCATACCTGACCTGCAGGGAAGCAAACACTTCAAATAGTAGGCTTGAGGTAGCCTGCAAAGCTGGAGCTTCTAGGTACCTCAACTTGCAACATTCGGCCACTGGTGGTCCAAAGGACATCTGCGGATGCATGTTTTTTCTCCACATCAGGTTCAGCATGTTTATTCAGCGGCTGTCGAACTTTACTACGGAACAATTTCCTGGTGCTTATAGCGGGGAATGAGCGATCAGATACCTAATCCATCAGATACTCATTCTATCAGCCTAAATCCCATCCTACAACACTCCTAGCAAATTTTCGTATACTGAGAAGGTAACCCTCTGCTTCACTCCTCGCTAAGCATCAGGTGGACCAGCCAGCCGCACAAAATGGAGTTGTGACGCACGACCAACAGAGGAAGCAGAGGCCGTTGGCATGCCGAATTAACTTGCAAGTTTCTCAAAATGGGGGGGCATCCTATGTACCCCAGAACA